GAAGTACCATCAGCCCCAACGGGTTGATCTCCGACGAAATTTCAGCACGAATACAGAGGGCTAGGTTCGCATTCGCTAGTTTTCGCCGTCTCTGGCGTAGACGCGATATCCGACTATCGACCAAAGGGCGTGTGTACTGCTCAACAGTCCGCTCCGTCCTCCTTTATGGCTGTGAGACCTGGCCATTGAGAGCAGAAGACATGAAAAGATTAGCTGTCTTCGATCATAGGTGTCTGCGTTCTATCTCCCGCGTGAAGTGGTATAATAAGGTGAGCAATATTGAGGTTAGGCGTCGAGTGCTAGGTAAGGCGGGGAAATCAATCGACGAAACTGTGAAATTACTTCGACTGAGATGGTTAGGACATGTGCTACGAATGCCTAGTCATCGCCTTCCTCGACGGGCAATGTTAGCTGATATAGGGTCAGGCTGGAAAAGAGCTAGCGGTGGTCAAACCAAAACATAGTTTCACCAGTCAATGAAGTCTACAACAGTTAGTTTAAGCCACGTAGGAAGGTGTAGACTTCGTGGTTGGGATCCTCGGGATGGTAAAAACCAATGGTTGGAAACAATTGGTGACATGGCTCAAAATCGTTCTCAATGGCTGGTGCAGATGCATTCACTCCTTGTGACTTATAATTTTCAATGAAACTATATTGTTCTTCGTTATGACTATTCCTTTGTCTCACACCTCTGTTTACTGTCTATATTATGCATTTCTTCTACTTTCTTCTCTTGCTTTGCGTGCTACATAGATTGTGGCGACTTGAACTGCCGCACATATGTGCAAAGTTCTATGTCGAAAACCGACCGACCGACCGAAAAGACTAGAGACTGCTTGGTAACGGAATATTTATCTATATTTATTTATATAAGAAAATTACGTACATCTTATCTTCAGCAGTACGCACCCCACCACATGGGGTTCGAGCCTAGGACCTTCTGGTCACGAGGCGAGTTCGTGGGACCCGATCCGATGGCCAGTCCATGAATTCTAACTTCTGCCTATTCGCGACATAGCGTGACCGCTAGCCTGCTGTACCGTACTGGTCACGACTTCTTACTAGAACCGCAGGTAACTACCTACCTGAATAGGGCCAGTCGCTAGTGAGCATCTACTCCCAGGTTTTCTAATGGTTCTCTAACCGATGTCAGGTCATGATGAAATCCTGTAACCATTAAATACATCATACTATATGCTGCTGATTGATTGATTGACATGAGCAGTTGAATACTACTCACACATGAAGCAGTAGTAGTGCTTGCTAACCAACCAGATCGAAATGGTCGAAACACCAAAGGGAAGTTTGGCTTGTTTGCAACCAGTTTGACTTAGCTCAGAGGGAGCCGAATCAGTTCAAACCACACTTGAATTTTGACTGCGTAAATTGCAAATCGTAAATGGTCTTAGACTTTTGTCGATAGTGTGTCTATAAGATAATATTCTTGCATGAGAAAGGAAATCATTGTGTAAAAAACACACACATACTTTAGTTTCACTATTTCTCCGAATTGAATCTTGAATAATATTTTATAGATGGGGAAAAGTGGTGAATTGAATTATAAAGAATATTTAGAAGACAAAAGAAAATTTGACCAAAGAATATCCTTTTGATTGAACACTAACTAATGTCAAGTCTGGAATATGGCCATCATGCCATTGATAGAATTCAGTCTGCAGTAAACAAAAGGACTAGAAACACATGTCACTAGTTAGTGTCCAATCAAATGTACCCAACATACTCCTTCAGGAGGTCAATCGCGAGCTCGAATAGCCCAGTGTTAACGTCTCTGACTGCATAACTGGATGACCCGGGTTCGAATCTCAGAAGGGACACGAGTTCCTTCAAGATTGCTGACTGACAACAAGCACGAAACCTAGGTCAGGCGAGGCTTCCTGTGGCCGATTACCTCCAACCATCTAATAACAAAAAAATCCTTTTCGAAAAGGAAACAAAGTAGCGTTAGACAGCTGTTTTTTTTTCTAGTAAAGGACTGTTCTGCAGTGTACTCCCACGATCCTACCACCAAATAGTGGTCACTGCTTCTCTCTGTGAAAAAGACGTAAACAGAGAAGAAAATTTTCTTTTCGACGATTCATTTTCATAAGTTGTACAAGCGAAATTATATTCAGTAAAGAATTCATAAGAACAATCAGATACTGATAAAATTTGTCCTCAAAACGTATTACGTAATGTAAGGTGTAATCTGGACGGGGTGACTAATTGGAAATTAGAAAAAGGCAGCAGAAGTTGAGATAATGCAATAGGTGTGAGAAAATGACCAGTCAGTATATTTGTATAGAATGGACAAGAACTAGTGGAAAAACGATAAAGTGTTTTTTTGAATAAAGCCTGTATGAAAATGCAATGTTATTAATAGACAGTAATAGAGTGGTAATAAAATAAGGACGGTGAAAATAAAAGCGTGCGTCGGTGGCACAGTGGTAAAATGCTCGCCAACCACGCCTCATGTGGTCCGGGGTTCGATCCCCGGTCACCGACACACTCCTTTACTTCACTAAGCCAGTAATAAGACTGGTGAAGAGGGAAGGTTGGGCGTGAGGCTAGCAACCCCATTCTGTGAAAATAAGCACCACTGCTACAGAAACTTCATGCCTCTATCTTGAAGCCATATGTCCCACTAGTAACGTTAAGGAATAAAAAAACTAATAATATTAAACTTACACAATAAAAGGAAGCAAAATCATAGTGAGAACGTTACTCTGGCCACAGTGGGTCGAGGGAATGAATGCAGTGCTTTTGAATGCACAAGTCTGGTTTCAGATCCTGAATAACCAATGATTTAGCTATGTACAGATGGCGTATTCGGGGTCCTTCCGTACGATATTGAGGGACTGTGTGTAGCACTATGAAGTATTCATGCATGGGTGCTTGATGTCCAGAGTTGACAGGGTGTTCGAGGATGGAGCTGCTAGTATTCTTCTTTTATTTTCTGGCTAGCCAAGCTGGACAGTGTTCCAGAATACGTTTGCGGACTTGACGCTGCGTACGGCCGATATACTCTGCTCCACATGAATAAGTAAACTAGTAAATACACACTCAGGTGACCAAAAGCTGTATCTTATCCTTCAACGTTAGACTGGATCAATTGTCTGCTGGAGAACATGTTGCGTAAGGTCGCTGCTTGAAATGTTTTCTTCAGACACTTAGAAAGGTGGTTTCTAAAAATTTCTGCCTCGATGTCACCTTCGAATTCCAGGTTCGTGAAGAGAGTTTTCTTAGGAAAAGTTGTGAATTGGGGCGATGAAGGCTTTCCCTTCATGTTTTTTGTTGATAAATCTTGGTGGATACCCGTTCTCTAGTAGATTTTCACGTAACAAATTTAACTCTTTCTCTGTCTTGTCTTCTGAACAAATCCTTCGAATCCTTGAACCTAGTGTACGTACTGGTTTTTACTTTCAGACCACTGGGACGAAGGTCTATGGCTTTAGGACATCAACCTGGTGGCCATCATTGAATGGACCATTGATATTCAGGTTATGGGACGAAACGTCTGTCCAGCGCTCCCTGGTTTTCAATGAATAAAAGTTGACAATTGGAACAAAATAAATGTCAGTGCACTAGATAATGAGTCACACTTACTGTGTGAGAGTGAGTGATACTACATGACTGCTAAAATCTAGCTAAATTAAATGGGTTTTGAAGTTGAGAGTGTAGCTCAGCATGTCTACAACCTTTAGGGAAATGATGACCGCTGTGAGATTTGAACCTGCATCATCTAGTACAGAGCAGTCCGAGACGTTACTATTCATCACTAGGTGTCTGTGATGGGAGAAGATATGAGACTTTGTAACGAGTCTTTATAATTGCATTCTTAGCCACATTAAAGTTCGCCTAGGTCAGAGAAGGAGAATAAATCGTTCTGATTTTGGTTGGCAATTGGCCCAGTGTGTTAAACAAGTTGTCCAATGAGGTTATTTCATGTCCACAACGTAAACTACTAAAACACAGACTTGTGGAGTAAACCCTTCTACCTCTGCAGCCAGCCATTGATTTAAAATGTTGATTTCAGTTGTGTGTTTTTTTGGCCTCTTCCTATCAATCTGCACCATGCCATTTGTATCTACCTCAAATACAATTTAATCAATATTACTTGCAGTACATATATGCCACAGTTCAGTAGCTACTACATTTATGAATTTTGCATGAATTTACCGATAAGCTAGGGACTCTGTGTATGAAAGTCTAGTGATACTAACGGAATATCCAAACCTTAGTAGCAGCGTAACGACAGAAAACAAGAGCCAAGCGACAGATCGTTTATTGAGAAAATCAAGAGATATTTATAGATTTTTATTGGTATTAGATGGTTGGAGGCAATCGACTACAGGAAGCCTCACCTGACCTAGGTTTCGTGCTAGTTGGCACTCATCAGCAAGACGTATCTGCAACCTTGAAGGAACTCATGTCCCTTCTGAGATTCGAACCCGCGTCACCCAGTGCTGCAGTCAGAGACTAGTTGCTGACTAGTATGCAATCAAAAATAGATTTTTATGTACATTATTATTCGTTATTGTTAGCAGAAAAGCAACGTCTTTTGATTGGTTGTTTTCTTGCTGAAAGTTGTTCTGTACTGCTTGTGACCGTTTCTTAGAAAGTTAAGCCATATATCTGCAATCCATATTTGCACACGTTAAGTCTGCTGTGATTGGCTGGTGAGTTCCTGAAGGTTAAGCTTTGTTATTTTTTCTCATGACCCCGATTCGGGAAATAAACATTGACGCCAATTGCTGTCTACACTTTTGTCTTGTAGCCAGCTCTAACCACAGTAGGACTTCCAACCTATTAACACACATTGGTTGGAAGTAAACTGTTCTCAAATCAATAAACTACAGAACCACAATATGTCAAAAAGTATCATTTTAAGTCTACTTTTTAGGCATTTTTATAACAAATTTTTATTTGGTAAATATAAATGCATAAACTATTTACAATGAGTTTAAGTTAACTATTGTTTTGTTTTTTTTCTGCGTTTTCAGGTGCCGGTGAATCAGGGAAGAGTACAATTGTTAAACAAATGAAGTGAGTACCTCTTTATCCTTTTTTTTTAAAAAATTCCACCTTATTTTATTTATTCATTTTGAAATCAAGTTTTATTCAACATGAACACAACGTCGTATAGGAAGTAATGTACAGCAAGCTGTATCGTATAGAAAGCATCCCCTACTTTACGATATAAACATCTGGGAACTAATCTCTTTCATCGATATTTCTTGCTAGCTAGTTTTGGGGGAGGAGCTTCCCTCGTTTTATTTAGACTAACGTTACACTGATTTTACCCCCGAACAACTTAAATCTATAGGTTGAGTCAATTCAAGTCACTTTAATTCCTACAAACCGCCAGTCAACTGCCCAATGGGATGGAAATTGGCCGAACAATGTGAAAGACGAATGGTCAAATTAATGATTACAGACGCACATTATAAGATCAACAAATAATAGATGCCCAGAAAGGAAAACTAGAGAAAACCCTCAACCAGGAACACCTATCAACGCTGATCACCGCAATTACATTGTCAAGTAGAAAACACCGACAACAAAGACGGATAGTCCTCAAAACCAAGCTAGCCAAGATTAGAAAACAACAACCAGACAATACACCTATTGACTGCGTAGTCAATCTATCAAAACAACTACTCTCCAAAATGGAACAACAACTACTACAAAAAGGACTAAACTGCAACACCGGAGGCACTTCGAAAACTGATTTCTTCGCTGCCCTTGAATCATTACTCAAATCATCAAAGGTGAACGAGGAAACACATGAAGAGATATGCCAAACAATCATACCAATGGTCAAACAGAAAAAACAACTTACACAACTCAACTCTCAAAAACTAAAGGCCCTCAAAAAGCTGAAAAATAGGAAGGACATCATCATTCGACCAGCTGACAAAGGAAGAACAACAGCAGTCATGGACAGAGAAGAATACACCAAGAAAGCTGAAGAACTACTCGAAGACACGAGGATGTATATCAACAACTCCCAACAAATCCCATACAAACATTAGACAACCACATCCAAAGAACCTTAAACAAGCTCACCGAAACTGGTCAGATCACAAAACAAAACCAATGGCGAATGAAATCCAATGGACCAGTCCTACCTCGATTCTACACACACACAAGCCAAATATCGCGTTACAAGTTGGTTTACATAACATCGAATAAATTCTTTGCAAGATTTAGGATCCGATGTGAAATTCCTTCAAGTTCTATTTGAGAACAGTGTTTATTCAAACTGCTTGTATCATGTGTTGTAATGTCAAGATATCAAACATGCGAGCTGTACAGTACATACTCGGGTATCTACGTAGTGGTATGAGTACTGGTGAAGGTGTAACGGATGAGGTCTCTAAACGTATAGTGAAAGCTAACGTGGCGTACGCCAATTTGAGACACCTTTGATGCTGTCGCGACCTCAGTCTGGCTATCAGTAGTGCTTCGGTGCGTGCAGTCTTGCTCCATGCCTCTGAAACAATCTGAGGATGGGCTGTGACTGTGCGTATTTGGTCGTCACTGTTTCCATAGAGAATTACTTGCGTCTGATGCCATTATTGTGTGAGTAATTCTGAGGTTCAGAAGCGTGTATTTAGAGATGGAGATCACCATTCGTAGAGTATCGGTGTCTGAAAACACCGGCTTCTGTGTCTTGGATATGTGCTATGAATGTTACCCTAGAGCCTTCCATATCAGTGTCTGTTCGCTATCTCTAGGACCGGATAGAGAAACCGGAGAGGTGATCAGTCTATGACTTGGAGCCATAGGATGGATGGAGGACATTTGTGTTAGGTTAGCATCACTTGATACATCGCAACAGCCTGGCTGCGGTCCGAGTGACAGTTCGAATCGGTGGCTAGGAATCGCAATCAGTGGCGAATACACTGCAATTTCCTTCTTTCGTCCGTCTCTGAAAGTAACATGAATTGGAGAATGTTAAGTGATTTTGACATATATGCTTTCTGCATGATAACTCTCATTCATTCTATCTCTGAATTCTTTGTATATTGTTGTTTTATTATTGGTGTGTGGTGCAAATCTTGATGCCCATATGGTACCAAGTTTGAATTTCAAATAAAATATATGAAATAACGATACATACTGATTTGAATAGTTCGGGACCATTCATACCCAGCTAGATCGGGTTGATATGAAAGCTTTGGCTTCGAGTTACTTCTTAAAAGGAAATTTGAAGCCCACTGGAAGCCCACTCCCATCCAGAAATTTCTGATAAACGAAATGGTGTTAGCTACTTACAATATTTCGTCGTCCTGTGATGCGGTTTCATCGACCGACTGCATGTGTGTCTCCTTCAGTAGTCTCAGTGTGAAAGGACCAGAAGGCATCGGAGCAACATCCTTTAAAACTATCCGAATCGCTGTAAGGTCAGCGTTAAGAGCCAAGTTCGCTTATTTGACTGACTTTGTTCAACACGCCCCACCCAAAGTATCCTTTTTCGGTGGTGGTCATTGATGATCCGAAAAGAGTGAAGGTAGGGCTTGGCATTGTGGTAGGGTATGACTTCCTATTTAAACAAATTTATGCGATAAAACATTATTAAGTGGATGACGTTTCGAGCACAAGTTAGTCATACAACTTTGTAACTTGCTTCATAGGATTTTATATCTTCATACCTTTCTGATGGATGGAAAAACTTTGACTAGACTTTCTCTTTCCACCTAACTATACTGCCTCCTTTTTTAAATGGTTGCGTACCAACACATATTTTATAAATCACTTAACCTTTACTAGATTTATCATTACGCTCTGACCCCTACTGACCGGTTTGATATATGTATATGACCTCGCAATCATTACATGGTTCTGGTGAATCAGATTATTTGATCGAAATTTAGTTGGGGGGTTTCATCATGAGCTGACATCAGTTAGAGAACCATTGGAAAACCTGCAGGAAGTATTGGACAGCTGTTTCGTCAGCCTAGTTTGGGACTCTTCATCAATAGGCACCCACCCACCGTCAGGGTTCAAACCCAGGACCTCCTACTTACAAGGCTACTGAGCTCGTAGACCATTAAGCAGCCACTGGGACTCGATCCAATGGCCAGTCCATGAATTCTGACTTCAGTCGGATTATTAAGCTGACAAAATTTATCTCTGATTGAATTGTGTCCACAACATATCTCCACCATACCTTAAGAGGAGGGATCAAGCATTCTAACAGCCCTACTTTCTCATTTTATCTGCTACTACTGTGAATATTGGTGATGATCTCACTACCACTCACTCCATTTATGTGTTTTTATATTTGTTTATCTTGAAATTCGAAAACCTGAAGTCTGACACACCTGAAGAACACCCAGCATTGTATTTATCCAACCGATGATCCAGTTCTCTGTGTTTAGAATCAATGTTCTTCATTCTCTTCTTGATTGTTTCCAAAGCTGAATTGACCACGGCATTGATGTTAAAGCTTGTTATTATCAAAGCTAATCGTTTTCCATCCTTCTCTACCTGAGTGCTCTCCAGTTCCTGTTACACTTAGAATTTATTAATTCTGGAAGGATATGCAAGTGAAAAGCAACAAGTTGGAAGAATAAGCATCAAAGATAGGACTTCAGGTGAACATAGAGAAAACAGACGTGATGAAGATTCCTGGGCAACACCACCAACAGCAACAACAACAACAGACAACAATCAGCATAAATGCAAGGAACCTGAAAGAAACAACCTCCTTTACCTACCTGGGAAGCATCGTCTCTACTACATGTGGAACTGACGAGGATATCAAAGCAAGAATCGGGAAAGCAAGACAAGCTTTCACTAATCTCAAATCTGTGTGGGGGTCAACAGCACTCAGCATGAAAAACAAGATCCCCATTTTCAACTCCAATGCGAAGTCAGTGCTACTACACGGATCAGAGACTTGGCGCGTCATAAAGAGCATCTCAAACAAACTACAGACCTTCATTAACAGTTGTCTTTGCTCAATTCTACTTAAGATCAGATGGCCGGCCAGAAAAGATAAGCAACAGGAAGGGATCTCTGGGAGCGAACCAACCCAGCAGGAACCGATTGTGAAACAAATAGGCAGGAAGAAATGGAGATGGATTGGCCATACTCTGAGAAAACAAACCATCAAGTGACATCACTAGACAAACCCTCGAGTGGAACCCGACCGAAAGGGAAGCGGCGAGTTGGTCGTCAGTGCAAGGGTGACTTGGAGGAGGTCATGTGAAGAGGAGATGAAAAGGTGTGGGCAGACATGGAGCCAGGTGAAGACTCTAGCAGAGAACCGAATGCAATGGAGACGTGCAGTTGAAGCCCTATATTCCTCAAGGAATTAAAGGAAATAATAATAATAAATTTGTGCGGTTCCTATCAATGCATATTATTGATGCAAAATATCTAGACGGTTCATATTTATCGGGATGTTCCTAAAGTTGATTATCTGTTTAATAAAGTATCATAGTTTATGAACCGAAATAGCACCGAAGATTTCACTAGGATTATGAGTTTCATGTGTTGAGTATGATTCATCTGATTCTGATTCATCCGCAGGCAAATTCATACAGTGAACTATATTACCTGTAGACTTTCTCAGCCTGCGACTGACAACGAACCGATGTCAGTTAGAGAACCAGTGAAGACCAGAGAGTACTTGACAGCTGTTTCACCCTAGTTTTAGGCTCTTCATCGGTATGTGCTCATCACCCCTACCCCCCGGAGATCGAACCCAGGATCACTGATGAATTTTCACACTGATTTGCGTTTGAAAAATTAAAACTGACTGAAACGAGCTGGAACTGCTAATAATCGCGATCTGTTGACTTAAACAACAAACATATTTTGAAGATAAGTTATTTCAAAGTGTGAACCGATTTTGGGAAGATGGAACTTAACAGTGTTGTGGTTCTCATAGTGTGACATATGCTACTGATAAGATTTATCAGTAGTATATAATAAGGGACGTTCATCGACGCACTAAAATATCAAATAACAGGGAGAGAGAGAGAGTAAATGGTTAAACATTACAGCAAAGCATGAGTGACATGAAAAGGAAA